CCCGTCCCAGCCCCGTCCCAGCCCAGCTCCAGCCCAGCCAGGACATTATCCCAATATGAATTATGTCAAATGATATGGCAAATGCTCTAGGGCAAAGGAGTATTTACAGTACCACATACGCAGGATAAGCATACTGATCTTCAAGTGAAAATTCCAATTTGTGACTACTGTGCAGCATTTCCTCATTGCAAAAGGAGTTTCAGGATTACAGGCACATCTCCTGGGGAAAAGGTGAAAGAAGCTTTACCTGAGTCTTTTAAGTGTCAGCTGACTGGCTAGGGACCAGCTTTGCAGAAAAACAACTGAACATGAATAAGCAGTAAGCTATCAGCCTTGAAGGCTAATTACATTTCTGGTCGCATTAGCAAGAATGCAGTTAACATACTGAAGCACGTTTGAGGCTATATTTGGAATAATATCTCTGTTGTCCATACACACACCCCTACCCTTCCCCAACTCAATAGAGATATCAACAAATTGTGGAGAGTCCAGCAGAAGGTCATTAAGATGATCAGGGGACGGGAGCAGAAACATAAGAAGAGAGGCTGAGGAAGTTGATTCTGTTAATCTTGGAGAGGAGAAAGCTAAAGGATGGCTAATTGCATGACTCAAACTGCCTAGAGAGAGTTGGAGTCTTAGAGGGGCACAGTGGAATCCGGTGGGAACAAGTTATGTCAAGCTAAATTCTGGTTAGACATAATGAAAAAATACTTCATCCTGAGGGTGATTCAGCAATGGAACAGATTTCTGAGAGAGCTTGTCAAATTTCTGTCCTTGAAGATATTCAGAAATCACCTGGACAAAACTCTGAGCAACATGATCTAGCTTTGGAGTTTTGCTGAACAGCAGTTTGGGTTGAGAAACCTCCAGAAGTCCCCTCCCATCTTTTTTTTTCTACAAATATATGATTTGTATCATCTTGCTTTCCTGTTTTGAGATACCTAGAGAAAGTGTGGGATTTTTGAAGTTTGTAAAAGCAGGTCAGCAACTCTCCAAAACCCACAAGTCTTCTGTTTGTTGTGTTGGGTTTTTTTTTTTTTTTTTTTGTTTTTTTTTTTTTTTTTTTTTTTTTTTTTGTTGCACACCAGAAACAGCAGCTGCACATGCAAAACCCATCTGCAGGCTTCAGTCAAAAAAAGATTGTGTGATAATGTGAAACAAAACAACCCATCAGCTTTCGTGAGGCCTGTATGCATCACTATTTCTGCCCAACTGCAATATGGTAAACAGAAAACTGCACTCTGCACCTCATCCTGAGAGGCTGGGACACTTCTGTGGTAAGAAAAGCTGATGTATATAAAATTTGGTTTTGAGTAAATGTCAAACCACATCCTGTTTTGTTAAAATTCAACTGCTGTTCTCTTAAAGAGATATTTTCAAGCATGTTTTAGCACATCATCTGCTCTGATTTTGAGATACTGTTTTCAGCTGAGGCCTACAGAGATATTTCCCCCTTCTATTGAAGACCTTGGCTATGTTATACAGAAGCTCCCATCAGGGTCTCCACTCTATGCCTCCTACTGCTTCTGCTTTGCTATTACATTCCCAGATATTTTGCTTCCACAGCTCCACAACCGGTCCTCTATCTTTGCCTGTGTTATTCCTACCTCTATTTAGCATACAGCTATACATAAAAGGTTCTCCATTTATTCCCAAGTAAGCTAACTCTGAATTGCCAAATATTTTAACTTGTGCCATAAGGTAATAACTTAACGAGATGCAAAATGGATGAAAGATCTCAAGAATCACTCTCCAGAATTAGTAAACCCTTGGTTTTACACTTCATGCTGCACAGAAATGATGCCCACAAACAGAGCTTTGAAGAACCACATTCTCATTTCCCTTCCTCTTCCCCCACCCAGATTACATTATATTCCCTTTTTATGAGTTGTGTTCTTTCGTGGTCTTTCTTGGTCTTTCATATTTTTCTTGTTTTCTTATTCTTCCCAATTTGCCTTTTTTACTCTTTTTTTTTTTTTAAAAAAAAAAAGACCACACATTTTGATAATACTTCCTTCATAGTCTTGTGCAATATCTCCAAGGATTTCTTTACCTATTTTTTTTCTAAAACTCTGCCCTTCATTCTTACTAGTTTGTTCTCTTGAAAATGTTGAGAGGCACAATATAATTGTGGAGAAGTAGATTTATACAAACATCAACGTCATTTAAGACATAATTTTGGGACACCTTATTGCAGCCTTCCAATATCTGAAGCCTTCCAGTATCTAGTGGTAGGACAAGGGGTAATTGGTTGATGTCCTAAATACTCTAATATGGCTAGTAATGAATTGTAAGTTCTGACTTTTTTATTTGGTGTTATTGCATCCGATAGCGGCCAGGCTGCTGCAGCTCCCCTGCCCTGGGTGCCCGCAGCAGGAGGGCTGCGTGTGTCCTCCCACGAGGCAGAGAAACCCCCCGCGGTGCAGAGAGGTGCACACGCCGCCCGGGCCAATGCAGACAGCACCGCTGGCGGGCGCCTGAGGCCGGCAGCCCTCTCGGCTTGTGGGCCTCCACTTCCTGCTGCCAGACTGCCCTCGCTCGCAGGTACGAACCCTCCCGCCTTCCTTCACACACGCGTGTGCGCACGCAAACACGTGCACGCGCACCGGCTCCCGGTAACTGGCCACAGACACTCAGCCTACCCAGCAACTGGCCCCAGGCTCCTCGGTCCTCACAAACCCTGTTGTGGAGGCATCCACAAAACAGGCAAAGCGGCTGCTCTAAGTGCAGATTCATTCCAATCAAAAATTACCCAGTGCTCCAACAGACCATAGTAGGTTTTAATTTGGATGTCAGGCAGGAATATAAGAGACAACTAATTCCTAAGTTTTGTGATTATTCTGTTTTAGAAAGGTGGCCCAAAATGTGCACACACTCACAAAAGTGAAAATCTTCTGCTCAGGGGTACCTAGAAGATGGGATCACTCATGGGCAGGAGGATCCCCGCGGGAGCATCCGCTCCCCGAGGAGGGGTCAGGTCTCAGGAGGGGTCAGGTCTCACTCCGCTCCCCAGGGAGGGGTCAGGTCTGGGGTCAGGTCTCACTCTGCTCCCCGAGGAGGGGTCAGGTCTCAGGAGGGGTCAGGTCTCAGGAGGGGTCAGGTCTCACTCCGCTCCCCAGGGAGGGGTCAGGTCTCAGTCGTCCCAGCCCGCAGGGAGACCTCAGTGCAGACCCACTCCTCTGAGGAGGCCGACTCAGCTTTGCTCTCTGGCCGGGCTCCATTCATACCCCAGCTGAGTCTGACCTGTGGTCAGTTCTAATTAGCTGGGGGCAAGCGCAGACAAAGGCAAAGTAACTTGGTTTCAGGAAAGGCCTGAAACAATGTAATCAGGTTCTCATAGCCGTAAAGCCCCGATCTTTATCAGGCCTTTGACAAGCCACAGTCACTGTCAGGGCAGGTGCATCTGCCACACAGCCACATTGAGACCCACACTTAGATACTGCAAATCTCCCAGAAACTATTCTTTGACATGAATTCTGCTTGCTAACTGACCCTGGCTGCCCACTCTCCCAGCTGCTGATACCAGGGTGTGCAAGCCTCTGAAGCCTGCAGCACCACTCAGTTGCTGGTATACAGTGTAAGTACTGGAAGAGCCTTCTATTGTTCTCATAACAGATAAGCTATTCCTATACTGATTGTCAGAGAATGTTCTTTAATGTGAGATCCTTACAGTGCTACACAACACTGGAAGTTGTGTTGTAGGACATTATCTTGAGAAAAGACCAAATTAAAAACCAACTCATGCTTCTTGAATGAAAAGTAAGCTGAAACTTTATTCATAAACCAAAAAGCTGGGTTCTCAGCCTCTGAGCATTAAGAAAGTGTTAATTTTGAAGATATGATAGGATGCAATACGGAAATACAGGGAAAACCCAGCAGTGATTACAATAAAGTGGAAAGAATGGGAGAGGGACAGAGAATCGACAGGAAATAATATTGAGCAGTTCTTAGACAGAAGCATAGATCATTTGTTATGGAAAGGTAGGAGGTATAATTTGCTGTGTTACTGCTGATGTTATGAACAAGACTCTTCATTTATTCTCTATACAACTTGCCACCAGCCTAATGAAAAACAAAACAGAATAAACAAATTTAAAAACAAACAAACCCAAACAAACACCCAAACAAAGTAGCAAAAGGAGCAAATACAATAATCTACAAAACAATAAACCACATTTATCAGTGTCCCTGTTGTTTCTCCTGAGAGCATTAACAGAAATGAGCATGTTATAGTTCCATGCTTTCTCCTCTTTTTGTACCAAGGAAGTGTCTTAACTTTTCTGGAAAACTCATCACTTGTAATTTTTGAAACTAGTCTGTACCAAGCCTGGCAGAACACATGGAGAGCAATGCCACAACTGAGAATAGGTTGAGTTTGTATTCAGCGATCCTTGTGCTACTGAGTAAGCTCAAACTTCAGGTGGCACACTGACCTACCTTGGCTGTCCACACCAGACTGCTCACCAGAACTGCATAGAGCAAAGCTTTGCCACAGAGCATGAGGTAGGTAAGCTTCAGAGAATTTCCATACCGCAGATAGGACTCTGCAAATCAAACATCATTTGTGTAGTGAAATATCATCATAAGAGACTAGCTCAAATGTAGCTTTAATCAAACTTAATTAAAAACTCTTGAAATCTTTAGCTAAGCAGCACCAAAGGAACTAGAGCCAAATGAACAGCTCTGTTGGCACAAGATAGCAGGGGTTGGGAATGGACACTGTGATTCAAAAAACGAACAGAGAAAGTGAGTCTAGGAAAGACATAGATTGGCTTTATGCTAAGAAAGGATATCCTGATTGTGAATGTTCAACAATTGTGTTGCTACACCTCCTGAAAAAAACGTTCATGTGAATCCCTTCAAATTAAGCTGAATCACATGATACAAATTTTTTCCTTTGGCATTTGACAATGGCCTTGTGAGCACTGCTGATATGTCACAGAGGTTTTACAAAGCTCAGAATAACATATTATCTAGAACTTTTATTCTTGTAGATTTTCACTTTTAAGGAATTCCTGTGGTGTTGAGACATGAGCCTTATCTCGGTGCGGCCTTAAGTTTCCCAATGCATTAAAGAAGTTGATGAAAAATAAAACTATGTAAAAAAGTATGCATAGAGGAAAGAAACTCAGTTTATTATATGGATATCCTCATAGTTTGGAGGGGACTTGTAATGAGAAGTATTCTGAATTCCAGATTCTGAATCTTGATACCATAATCACTGGTATAAGTACAATTTTTTTCTTTCATGGATGAACAAGCAGCTTCCCAACAGAAGACAGTGTTAAGAACTGGAGGAGATGATAAAAATAGCAAACTACACTGTATAGGAAGGTTCCACAATTTCTTCTGTTATTTTGAAAGGGAATCATAAAAAGGAGCTAAAAGAACAAAACACAGCTACATGCAGCATGCACGTACAACCCTCTTGAAGTCTTTGTTTTTTCTTAATCTAACATACAAACCACTTAGATGTACAAGCTATTCTTGTAGTAGAATAGTCACACAGCTTGTACGTAGCGTATGTAAAATTAGAATTAAAATACATACAGATATCTACCTGTGAGAAGACACACATACCTTCTGTGAGTGCACAACCTGAAAGACAAAAATGAACTGAAAGTCACATTTATCTTTAAGTGAAATGCTGTGGTTTGAACCCTGAGCCCCGAATTAAGGTTGACATATGGGTGATTCCCACAGCCCTTCATACAGAGGGGTGAGTTTGCCTTAGAGCTTCCCCCAGGGTGTCATGAAGTAAATGAGCCCCAGGTGTCCTGCATTGAGTTGACAAAGGTCAGGGCTCTGCCAGGGGATAAAAGCTGGGACCACTTGCAGGAAGGGAGGAGTGTCTGTCTGTGGAGTGGGTGCACTCCACAGAACTTCCTGCTTAAGGAGACACCTCCTGACTCTCCTGGAGCTGGGCTCTGGTCAGTTCAGACCTTTGTGAACATGGGATAGATGGGTGAGAGTTGCCCTGTGGGCACCTTTATCTTATTTGTTTAACCCTCTGATCTGTCTGTTTCTCTTACCATCCATGGGAAACCTTGGCTCTCTGTTTGTACCACCTATTGTCAGTTGAATTATGTCATTTCTGGGATCTTTGGGGGTAATGTTGGTTGTATGTGAACCAATTGACTTGTTTATACCCCCAGCGATCATTCATGGCATGGCCTTTTTGTACTCAATACATTCCACTTATTGGTTCATCTTTCTGCTGGTTGTATTATTGTTGTTAGGCCTAGTCACTGGCAGAACATCAATGCAAAAATATGCACTATGAGAAGGCCTGGTCAAAGGCCTGTATATTTACATCTATACTTGTGCCATAACAATGCCCTATACAGAGGCTAGATATAGATGTGTTCCACATCATAACCCACACCCTTTTGATTTATGATTTCCAGTTTGTACAGCATAGTGATACCCGTTTTTCACTCACCAGCATCACCGTGGATTAACTTGTGTATCGATTTCTGGGTTCCATTCATAAAAAATTTGGCAATACACTCAAAACTATTCAAAGGGTTGAACCATTCCTGTGCTGACATCCTCAATCGGCTGGTCAATGAAAAGGTACTCCTGTTCCGTGTGGAAAACTCATCTGTCCCCACCCCTTCTGTTCTTTCAGCACCATTCACCTTCCAGACCAGATTCAGATGGTCAGGGTAGAAACCAGAGGCCAGGCACACCAGAGTGGCCTTGTTCTTCTGTTGGATCTCTTGCTTTGATGGGGAAAAGATGGCCACGGCTGGAGGTATGGTTTCTTCATTCTTCTCTGAAATGGAAAAAGATATGGCCTGAAACCATATTACTGACTTCTACCAGAAACCCCTTTAAACTGTACTGTATTTGTGCTGTGGACTGACTGTGAATTGTCTGGCTCATAGTTCATAAACAAGTTTCAGTAATGTCTTATGCATGCAGGTGACTCATGGGGGACTGTAAAACCAACCCTGTCTTGGGTTACCTCGAGGCCCTGTCTATGCAGAGATGACCCATGGGGAGCTGTGTAGAAAGCTCAGCCCTGAACTGTCCATAAGCCATTGACCAAAGAGGGCAGTGCTTCATCATTCAAAGAACTGAAACCTGAGCTGGACCTTGAAATCCCTCAATAAAAAAAAAAAAAATACCCTGAGTCTTAATCCAAACCACTATTCAGTTGCCTGAGAAAGCAAGATAAAGAGAACCTGGAGGGTTTCAGTGTTGATTTCAGCCAACAACCTTTTGTATCTGTATGGTATTATCCACTCAGGCATAGTCTTGCCCACAGTCATGTAAATCAAAGGATAAAAACTCTAAGGTTCAGGTTAAGAATTGGGTCTCCAACACTGCTGCCTGTCTGTACAGACAACGTTCCCACTTGGTCTGGACACCAGACAAAATCTCTTTCCTGGGGTTGAAAGCCCTTAGGTGGAGAGGTAAGCAAATATTTAGGATGCTGCAGTTTTGTAACCGCAGGCCATTAACTTAACATGTTTAGCTCACTTTTTAGGTTGTTATACTGTAATCTCGATTTTAAGTTGTAACAGTGCATTCTTCCATTGTATCTATGAAAACCTGAAAGAGTGGTGTATTAAATCTGTAAGTTAAGGTCAAATAAGTTATTTGCTTGAGCGTTGCAGCTAAACCTGTAAGTGAAATTCAAATGGATCATTTACTTGAGCCCTGCAGTCTAGTCTCTTTTCACCACAGACTCCTGATATATCTGGCCTTTTAACAACTGTCTGTTAGACAATGATCATCTATTAGACAGGTAGACATCAGGAAACTGAAAGCATTTGTCTTCACTTATTCTGCCGAAACATAAAGCATCTAGCTACAGAAGTGCAAGAGCTTGAATTTCTAGTATTGTCTCTGTCAGAACAGGAAAACTGAAAATAAGCTGAGCAAACAAGCAGGCAGAGAAATGCCTGATATTGCTGGCAGGCCTGTATTTGTAATATTTTACTAATAAATAAGAGTTTGTGTTCTAAGGCACAAGCGTCTTCAGCTGACTGTTATATTCCTGGAGATTTAGTTAATTGTTAAGGTTATTGCAGCGTTCAGAATTGTAGTGCCATGTGATACTCTCCTCGGACCCCCCCATCTAAGGTGACTTGAAAGGAAGGAGCTAAACTTTCTCACTGTCTAAGGTGAAGAACACTTCAGGTAGATAATCTGAATCTGCCTGGGACAAGTTTTGCTTTAGGTCTTAACTTGTCATCCTTTTTTAAGACTATGAATTATCTCTTTATGTCAGGTTACCCTAGGTAGGTATGAGAAGCCCACATCCTAGACTACACATCTTCCCCAAATGATGCAAGATTCTATACACTCACAAACCAAAAGTTGTCCCCTGTCTTAAATTGTTTAATACCTACATACAAGACTAAAGACAATAGATTTCTACAGTTAAAAGAACGTGCAAAGCAACAATGAGGTGTTACTCAGAAGCTAAGCACTGACCATTAAAGCTGTCTTTTTTTTTTCCCCCATATACTTTGTCAACGTGTCTTCTTTACACATCTAGCAGGATAAAGCCATCAGGTCTGCAGAGTGTACATAGAAACAGAAATGCTGAGAACTATGGAGCCAAAGGGAAAACTACTTTTTTTTTTTTTTATGGTGTGAAGACACTATAAATTGTGTATGTTCTTCCTGATTACTCCTTTCTTTCTAGAGTGGAGAGAATTAGCAGAAACTTGACCCCTAAGCGATTGCTTTCCACTGTTAAAATTAACAACGATTGTCGGTGCTTAATCTACAAAGATCCCGGAGGTGCTTCTGCGGAAACGTGTGAGCTTGTACAGACTTCAGAAGAGGTAACTAGATAGCAATCAAAGTAACTCCCTTGGAGGCTTGTCACTGCTCTGCTTTCCTTGCAGTGGATATAAAATGTTGATCATTTTTACATCTCCCTTCTAGTACTTGCCTTTTTAAATTTTTTCTCCAGCCTAAAAATACCTCCGACATAATTTCATTGTCTTGTAACCCAAATGGCTAATGAGTGAAGACATGGAGGCAGATAGCGGGGACACAGAGGAAACATGTGAGAGGTTTAAGAGACTAAAACGAGAAGACAAAGAGTGAAAAAAATGTGAAAAAAAGCAGACAGGAAGAACGATAAAATTGCTGGAAAGACAAAGAAAGCCAGAGAATGAGCATGCATTGAAATGCAATAAGGAGACTGGTAGAAGCAAGAGCAGAGACAATCAGAAAAAAAAGTGTTATCAACAGCCCATTCTGTTCTGATCTTCCACAGTGTTCATAGCAGACACTGGCACAATGCTTAGCCATTCCTATGCATCAATTCATCCATCCCTGTCATGTATTCTTCACCCACCGAAGAGAAAAACTACCACAGCTTTTCCATTCCCATCATGGCAAGGTCAGTTTGATAATGGTGTTATCTTTAACCCCTGCTCTCATTTTAAAATCATCTGTGCATATGCTACATATTATTAATGCAAGTGACATTTTCAAGTATCCTTCACATGGAGGATTTTGGTTAATCACAGCCATGTACATAAAACTCTAAGCCCAGTGCCAACTCTGAAAGCGAGTAGGACAGTTAAAAAGCACAACTGTACATGATCAGATTATAACCCACAGTGACATTATGCTCTTCATGCCAGCCACTTATTTCCTTAAAACGGTGCTGTTTAAAGGAGCAGGCAGCAATGTGTATTTCAACAGTTTGCTATCAGGTGTAGCATTAGCAGATGGAAAAGGTTATTTTGCCCTGTGATTCCAAAATGCTTTGATATAAATGAATTAAATCCTTTCCCGGGAAGGGAGAAGGCAGAGAAAGCAACTAGGGAAAAAGAGAGAGAATAAAGGAGAAAAGTACACTGGGAGAAAGAGTATAGTCCTTTTTCAGAATTAGAAGCCGTGAAAAGGAATGTTAGAGGAAGCCAGTGTCCCAAAGAAACTTCAGGCAGCCTGACCACCATCTGTGGAGGGGGGAGCGAATTACCAGCAAGACTACTCTTT